CAATTACTTATAATTAATTATATTAGCGCTGTCTATTACGAAAAACATTATTGTTGTATTATTCGAGAAATGGGATTTTAGTGTTTCATAATTTTATGTTCAGACTCATTATCTAACTCTTAATAATTATTTCGTCGCATCTTTATGTGTACAGCATTGAACAATGGATCGAACTTATCCATTCTTGAATAACAATTTTTATCATTTCTAAAAGCATCCGAGACAAAACAAGCAAGTTTGTAAACGATCGTAAATCGTTGTATATAAGCGTGTTACATGATTCAGTTTTACAATTGTATTTCTTCATCTACAATACAGAGCAGCACTACTATTTAGCGAGTTCTTACTCGAAGACCTTGTATAACCAGTTTTTGTTTTCAGTGACTCGCCGTAAACGGTTGTATTTTTTCGTATTTCATACAGAGAAATCCCGTCGTAATACTGTTCAATGTCATACACCAAAATCCCGTCAGATAAAGTGAAATACCTAGTCTATGCAACCGTTTCACAGTGTATAAATATCCATTGTCATCCAAACTATCAATCATCCTACAGCTGCTAACTGTAGCCAGTTGTGGCATAGTAACCGCACGACCATTCGTACCATACTTATATTCATTTGTACCATAGTTAGCATATGGTAACGATATTATAGACGGACAGACAGACTTGTGTGCATGGGTATGGGTGTTGCTATTGCTATGGATGTGTGGCGTGGCGGTGTGGTTGCGGTTGGCGCTACAGATTGTGAGTGTCGGTATGGGTTTGGCTTTGGTTTTGCCTGTCACTGCGGGATGTGGGGTATAGCGATGCGAGCATGGCTGTGGATTTTAGATGTGCAAGTGGATGTGCGTGTCCTTTTTTGTTCGTACTAAGACCCACATCCACACTCCACATTCGATATCTCTTTTTAAAACAAACCATAGGCCAAAAAACTAGTAAAGTACTGATAACTTTCGATGAAGAGGCTCTGGAGAGCGATGCATTTGGAATTAGTTCACTTATAGTAAAACCTACTCAATAGAGTTTTTTTTCTAAAAAGTAATATATTCCCGACGATAATTCATTCAGCAATATCATATCTTGTACAAACAAGTAATGTTCATCGACAGTCGATTCGCTTCGCCCTAGATTGACGTAATAGTCTGCTAACAGATATTCGTCTGTGTCTGTCCGCAACATGTAGTAAAAGTACACAAAACGATGGCACGATTGATCATATACATGGTATAAATGACCAAATAAGTGGCTATTTATACCATCGATACAGTTACTTGTACCACGGCTGTGGTCATTTGTACCATCGATATGAACATTTGTACTATGATTATGGGCATCGGTACCATCATTGTAGTCACTTATGCCACATGTTGCAGACAGACACAGGTAAATTTCCGTTTCCAAATTCTATCCTTTCAGTCAAGGGAATATGGAATCAGTTTTCTCCTTCTTACGCTACATCACACTTATGCTACCTTTTCGATTAGATGATTAAAACAATATTTAGCGCCAAATATGAAATAAAAGTATCTAAGCATGTTTCCAAGATGAAGGGATAAAAAATTCACGAGTAACATTGGTGGAAAAAGAGGAAACACCATTTAATGATAGGAAAAATACGATATTTTTCGTGATATATGACACTTTTGACGCTGGCGCGAGCTTTCTTTATTAAAGTCAATTCCATATTTTGATAGAGCATGTAAACTGCATCGAACTGATATATTTTCACTCATCTTGAAAACTGTTTAATACATTTGAACCGGCGGAAAAAAGACATGCATATACTAGATTTATCGTCATCGTGGTTGTGCTTCGCTGTTATACACAAGTGTGTCTTTCCAATGAACTCTATTCGTTCCGATTTAAATAGACTCATTGAATTTATATAAAAAGCACCTATTTGTACATTGTACAGACTAATATCTCAAAGAGGAGGGACGGAAACACAGTTTAGACTGTAAAATCAGAATATAAGTGATAACGAGTTGCTCCTCAGGGCCACATTTTTGAATTTAGAAACAGAAATATTCGTGATCGACACAGTCGATTTGATAGTTGCAGTTACTTTTAAAAACTATATTTTGAGGAAAACATATCTTAACCCCGTGGGGTGGGACAGGGATCATATACTAGATTGCTATTTCGAACGAAATGACCATACCCATGGCGCCTTTTTTTACCAACAGCAGCGCATTGATCGCAGTGAAAAATTTTATTAGAAACTACGGTTACTGCGACGTAGACCAACGTAACTGTGTCACAGTAATCGTAAAGTACGATCCGCTGTAATTGGTATCGACCAGTTACAAGTAATTCCTCGTACCTTGTAATTGGTCACACTCTAGCAGTAAATCTTAGTCACACATAGACCGCATAAAAAGCACTGCCCATCAGGCTTCGGCTCATAACTCGTTCTACTGGAAAAGGTAGAACATCTATTCCAAAACAATTTGTCTAATTTTTTTTCTAATATTTTTACTTTGTCGGGATTTTAATTTTTCAAATTTTCTACTATTTAAATTTTCTAATTTTTTTACCTTTTCTTGAGCAATTTTTTTTATTTTTCAAATTCTTGTTTTTAATTTTTTCATAAAAATTTTTTATTTCGTTGTTTTGCTAAGTTTTTTATTTTTTTGTGTTTAAAGAAATTGTTTTAATTCTCAATAAAAATATAAATAAAATGAAAATCTTATCTATGCCATATCTTTTATCAATTGCGACGCAGTTGCGTCGGAACTGCGATTGCACTGTGACTCGCAATGGCGAAAAATTGCGACGCCGCTACGCGCAACTATGATTTTGTCATCACAGTTATGCGCAACTGGGTCGCAATTACGGGTTACAGTGCGATCGCAGTTTGACCACAATCGAACACATGGGTACTATATTTGTAGTGCCTGTCAAACTGGTTATTCTCCTATATATTTCTTTGAAATATTTCTGGCCGAACAGTTGTCTTACTACAATTGGTCCTTTCTATAGAGCAATCAATACCATTGTACCTATGAACTGAACTTAAGTAGACCAGTGCAATATATTCAAAATCTTTTTTTCTTGATAAACAAAAATCGAGTGTTATCCTGCGAAAAAGGTTTTTTTATTTAAACAATTCTCTATTATATGCCAAGTCATCTCTTGTATTTGTCTAGTATTTTATTTTGCACTTGTGTATCTAGATGCACCCATATGCATATCTTTATCCTGTGCGTTTAAGGCCAAGTGAATCGAGGCCCAGTAAATTTACTTGTCTCTAACAGAATTTCAAAATTTCCTTTTTACATTCGGGTGTGGATTAAAGGAAGATTCACATACATACTCACACTCACACTGTGGAAAATCTTATAGAAGGCTGATATCAATTTTCTTTTCATATATACTAGTAGCTCAAATCGAGCTCTATAATTCTACAATATTTTATCAATCTTCAGATGATATTGTAAGAGCAAAATTTCGATATGTTAAGGTGTACTGTTAACTCTTATAACTTTTCCTTTTGGAAATACACAACAACTAACGACACATATGCAACAACCCAATAAGACACGCATCCTTACGTGTTCAGAAACGGCTGGTTATCAAAGAGGACAAACAAGAGAAGAACGAGAAAACCAAAGAGAAATGAAAAAAAGAACAAAAAATGATGTACATCTGAGATAATACGGCCCAGTGTTTTCGATACAGATCGTAACACGATCAAAGCTGTTCGTCTGTTTTGAATATGGATAAGAAATATTTTTCTTTTCTTATCAAAGTGTGTACTGCACCTCGTACTGAACCAGCAGTTATTCATGATGAATTATATACTGTTTTTGTCGATCAGACTCCATTTCTCTAGATTCTGGAAAGACGATCACAACGATTTCGTGAGGGTCGAGAAGCAATCGCAGACGAACCAAGAGCTGGTAGATCTCTAATCAAGAGAATATCTCAAACTATTGAACAAGCCTGTGACCTCATTCACGATGGCTCTTGTACACAAGAATAATTTCCGATCATTTGAAGTTGACAAGAAATTAGTGTACGCTATTCTCTCAAACAACTGACCAATTCTCAACGAGCTGAACGAATTCAAATGTGCAAAAAAATTCAGCGAAACTTGAGTAAGGAGCTTGAAGACTACATAAAGTTGTAATAGGTGATGAATCGTGGTTTCATTATAAATAGGTTGATTGAAAGTCATCAACGCTGTCTGAATAACCAGTGGAGAATATTCACTGACAGTGGTTTGACGTATTTGTTTTGTTGCAAAAATCTTGTTGTGCATTTTCTTTAAGTCAACTACTCCAGTTTTAATTTCTTTATGCTGAACAAACACAAACTATCAATCACCAATATTACATCAATAATTTTTTGCAGCTGGTTGTTAATAAAACCAAGAATCAAAGACCCTTGTTTGATAATCGTGCAAATAAACTTAACCACGATACTGTGCCCAATTACCTTGAATCGAAAGGCATAGAGATAATGCCATATCCACCTTACTCTCTTAATCTATCACTATGTAGTTTTTTTTGGTTATTTAACTTCATCACACAAAATCTTAGCAATAAAGATGATTCCTAAACATTGTATCATCTTATGAATAAGTTTATAAACTCGTTGCAAAAAGAAAAATATAAAGGAATGTTCGATAAATGAATCGAATGGATGCAATTATGTGTAAATAACCTGAGTGACTACTTCGAAAATTAATAGAAATAAAATCTGATGAGCTTTTGTTTATGTTTTCTTTCTCAAGCCACCACTATTTTTGCTATGCTCTTTATATAATGATATCACCTGAAGGATGATGCATTATTGTACAATTATAGAGATCGATTTGAACTGTTACTGCATATAAAAAGAAAATTTCCTCGAACTATCTATTAGACTATAGTGTTGGCGCAACTACTCTTGGTGTGCCTTAAATGTATAACTATTTATGGAGTAACACATATGAAGTGAAATAAATTTTGGTTCTTTTTTTTTTTATAAATTTCGGTGGTCATCAGATCTCGATGCTTTTCTCGCGCAAGTATTATACATTCATGGTCATGTGCTTTGCTGTATGGATAGTTTTATCATATTTGTACACTTTTATTATACAACGTCAATATTGGCTTCAAAAAGTCATGACAACAAAGTTAACAGCAACAGTAGAAAGCAATACAGCGAAAAAAGTCGAATCTGATTTTGAAAAACGCACTTTTTGGCATATCCCAATTACTGATATCCAACGTGCAAGTCTTCCAATACGTAAATCAACATCACAATCGAATGAAATGTCTTTTATTCTTGCTAATTCAACGGTTGCTTTTATGGCTTGTTGCCGTAATTCAAGTACTCTTTTGCCTAAATTCCGGCAACGTGTTCAAAATATTGGCGAACTTTTTGCCGATTACTATATACTCATTGGTGAATCAGACTCGTCAGATGATACCTTGCGATATCTTCGAAACTGGTCGTCAAACGATTCACATCTATTTATACAAAATTATGATAAATTGGACGGGATATTTTCACGACGTACCGTTCGTATAGCATTTTGTCGAAACAGCCTGTTGAATACAGCACGATTGCGAGGATGGATCCAGAAAGCCCAATTTTTAATTGTTATGGATATCGATATCAACTCAAATGAAGTTCTAAGTAGAGAAACCTTTTTAACAAACTTTGAGTATCCATTGAACAGCTGGGCTGCAATGACCGCATCTCAATCTGTAAGTATAGAAACACTTCAAAGCCCGATCTATAGGTTTTGTTTACAAGCAGGAGGTCACATGTTGTCGGTAATTGACTTTTTGACGATTGCATTCTAAATTTCATACTTATGGTAACGAAGTTGGTTGCTCTGAGTCTTTTTTCAGAGAACTTGGTTTAATAAATGGAGTTTTACAAAGATATTATGACAAAAACTCAGAGTTTTTTTGTTTTTTGTTTTTAATTTTGATAATCCTTAACCGCATAGTTGCTTCGTACATGAAGCAAAACTGAAATAAGATATTCAAGATAGCAACGTAAAGGTCGCATAATGATATATCTTTGATAAAATTATCCATGCGTTGTATTAAGTTTCGATACAGTTGTGCACTAATGGCGCAGCTCTGCGAAGTCTTCATGTAAAAAAGCCATTGCTTACTGTGGTATATGCAAGGGGGGAAAAGCGTATTTCTAAGTATTTCTCTATTTCAGAAATACCTAGAAATACCTGGAAATACTTAGAAATACCTGTAACTTTTCAGGTATTTCTAAGTATTTCCAGGTATTTCCAGGTATTTCTAAGTATTTCTAGGTATTTCTAGGTATTTCTAACTATTGCTAGGTACTTCTAGGTACTTCTAGGTATTTCTACGTAATATGGGTAGAAATACCTGGAAATACCTAGAAATACTTAGAAATACCTGGAAATACATAGAAATACGTAGCAATACATAGAAATATGGAAATACAGAAATACGCTTTTCCCCCCTAGGGTATATGGCTTATGCATAAAAACTGCAAACAACAAGCATCAGCGTTATGTCTGGATTGTTACTCTCTAATCATAAAATGGACAGATAGCACTCTTTTCAGTTCAGTGGTCCGTACAACTGCCTGGAAAACAGAAGATGCGAAGATTGATTCTTCTCAAACGGACTTGCATCTTTTTTTACCGCTCTGCTATCATTTCATTTCGCTGCTGTCTCACTTACAACGTCCTTTAACAGGTAACTTCCATTGCAATCAATTGTGTGCTTCAAAAACGAGACAACGCAACAATCAGATTTCACAGATAGATGGCAACAAAACACCTCGCAAACCATAAGCTATCATACGAGGACCGATTTTCAGTGTGAGTGTGGATGTAGATGTGAGCTTGCTCGTCCCAAAGCAGTTACATTTACATCGCTATCCCGAAGATCTTATCCCAGTTTTCCTTGTATACGAAGCAAACACCAGATTAAAGATGATCAAAATTGACAACAGAAAAACAAACAACTATGAGCTTTTGCCATAGTTTTTCTGCAAGACTACATCGTTTAAACCAAGTTTTAAAAAAACGATTCAGTGCATCTAGCTTCATTACCATAAGTGTCAAAATTAGAATGCAATCATCAAAAATCGGAGAAACTAATTAGTGACTATAGAAGCTTGCATCTTTCAAAACTTCCAATTCAGTTCCGTATAGTAATATTTCAATTTTCTGAACAACGGTAAGACCATTAGGAAAGCACGTGATCGTATGCTGGGGTCAGAAAAGGGCGGAGTCAGCTGCCGTTTGTAAATCGATATTGTATTTCTCATCTTATAGCCATACTATTCTGAACTGGATTGATACCTAAATTAGACTATTTTGTGCGTTTCACGCTCTACTGTGGTTGATTCAGTCATCGCTCTTCATTTCTGTTCTACTCATGTAAAAAACAGTTACAAATCAGATTAAAATAGGTTTTTCCAGGCAGTCATCAAATAAAATCGACTTTTCAGCAAATAATCTGTTATTTTTGACTGATTGCAGAATGATCTGTTAAAACTCATTTCCCTCAGAATAAACTAAAAATGGATTAAAAATCTAATCCTTTTTAATGGATTGCAGGAATAACTTGTAATAATCTATTTCCTATAGAATAATCGAAATAATTGATTAAATATTGAATAGCTTTTAATTGGTTTCAAGAATAATCTGTTCAAATCTAGGTCTGCTAGAACACTCTAACGAACCTGTCTGTACCACCTCATGGGGAGCTAGATTGTAATATTCAAAAACTCTAACTTTTATGAATTTAGATTATATTGTCAGAGGCTCGAAAATTTTTGCATTCCGAGAATGTTTGCATTTCGAATTCGTATTAGAGCAATTTATTAGATCCATTGAATATCGTTATGCTGAAAATACTGATTTGTACTGTCAGAGATATTCAATACAAATTTCCTTGCTCATAATGACAATATAGACGATATACAGCATACGAAATGGCAGATACCATTTAATTCTTCATTTCGTCTGTTCAACCACCATATTACCATTTTGCACACATTGATGCAATTATTCAGTCAACTTTTGTGTGCAACATCCTTTCTCTCGGTCAACTTTGGCATATACTGTTGAATTTTTTCTAAATTTAGAATTCAATTAGTTCTTATTTTCTACTGTTCGTCATATTCCGACTTTGCTAAATCAATGGCACCGCTGTCATACCGATTGATACCCACTATTAGATTTTTTTGGCCGGATCAAATACAAAAAGCCCCAATATATAGACTGGTAATACTCTACAGTAGACAACCTAGATTCATAGAATGGTTTGAAAAACTCTAGAAAGTTCGAAAATGCCTTAAGCACTCTTTTTACTAACGTACATTTTCCCATTGCAAGGAACGCATACTCTTTGATAGTTGCCCCCTCCCCCATCGCTATGAAAGGGTATCCTATACTCTTTCTCTCCCGTTACTTGCAGTTACTGGGAGCTAAAGGGGATGGAGTCGAAAGGCGCAAAAGCGTCGATTCAAACTTCCACTTACTATATTTTCATCAAAAACATGAGTGAGCTCCACTATAACCGACTTAGAACCAAATCGATTATAATTAATTTCGAAAATATTCCCTTAAAACAAATTTGACTTACAACAATCTAAATAGTCGAATAAAAGTCAACTTGATTTTATGGTAGGTGCCCAATTCGAGCTCGAAAATAAGTAAAATTTGCAAAACGTTGGCTGGTAACACTGCAACCAAAAATCCAAAGTCACAATTTTTATCTGAATTATAATTATTACTCAAATTGAGATTATTCTATATAAGAATAGCCAAAAACTTATACAAGCCGTTTTGAAAATATTGAATCATCGATTTTTTTATACACTTTTTACGAAAAGTCCTGAAAATGCGCTTTTTCACTGAGGGAGGCTTTGACGGGATCATATTTCAAGAATGGCTCCATCAACTGAGCTGAAAACTTTTGTGGACATATAAGTTTACGATCCAGGTCAATCCTGCTTGGCCGTGCATGGCCGTATACTAACCAATTACGGTGGATAACGGCAACTACTTGCGGTAGCCATTTACGACAATCGTAAACGATACATTACGTCGTATTATGGTCATTGTAAACAATGACCATAAAGAGTTGCCGTTAACGACTACCGTAAAAATACGGCGACCGTATACGTGCATAAGGTAAAAAGCTGTAAAGCTCCGTATACGCTAGCTGTTTTTGGTTGCCGTATCCAGCAATCGTAAACAACCGTTTCCTTAGTATTACACTCATCACAAATGACCAGCGTCAAAACCCATCGTTTACGGCTACCGATAAATTACACCAGCTCGAAGCGATAATCCATCTATTTCAATTGACCATTCACATTTCAAGATTCTATTTCTCAGCTATAGAAAAGGTGAAGCCCTACACATATACCCCTCATTCGAAAGAGCGCCCCCAATAAGGTGCATAGAAATGCGGCATCGCAAGTGGTCGTATACGGCCGTATCTAGTCGTCGTAATGCTCGACCTGAGGAGATCTATTCAGGATGAAATTTTCATTCTAAAATATTGGGCTACTAACTTTTTATGAGTTATCTAATATGGGTGAAAATGCTCAATGTGCACAATTTAAGAGCTCTATATCTCACTGCACGAAAAGGATCAAGGTTCAAAATTTTTATCGCAGCAGAAATTCATGAAGTTCTATATTCACTAAAAATGTCAGCCTTGTATATGATTCCTTTGGGTCACTGTATCGCTCTCAAAACCTAGTGTTCGATGTAAGCCCGTATATTATGTCAAAAAATCTGTCAAAATGTGTGATGATTTCCTGGCTGGTCTTCTGAAGTTAACAGCATCGCCTCTTGTCTACATCACGATAAGAAAACCAGCCTGGCATCTCTGAGTATGACCAAGAGCAGTGGTCAGCTTTGGCAGTTCAAATAGGGCAGTTATTGAACAAGGAATTTTCGCATCTAAGATTCTAATGCTTGATTGAATGTCAAGTTGATCATCGTGTTCGAGTACTTATCCATAAAAATTGCTCAAGTGATCATCTTAGGTCTATATCTGCAAGCCTGTCTGTCAAAATTTGAAGACGCTCTCAAAAGGAGGCGCAATATCTGTATCAGTCTCTTCCGGCGCGAGGATGTGGACACCGGGCGTGGATGGGGAGTAGATGTGTGTTGTTGGGGGTTGTGGGTGCCGCTTTGTTGAACTACAGTGCAACTCGAAAACGACAATCATGCTTATAAATGCGAATTCACAATAACATATTCGCAGTGCCATTCGCACTCATAGTCACAGCACATCGATATTCGCACCCACATTCAGACATCCGCATCAACAGAAACCAACATTCATCGCCACATCCAGCCACTGGGAACAACATTCAAACCCACACTAAGAAAAACACACACTCGCACACCAATATTCATAGGAAGGCAATCGCGCTTACATCCACTCCCACACGACCGGACAATCGCATTCACATCCAGCCATCTATACTAACGCCCAGACACTCTCATCCACGCTTACATTCAAACGCACACCCACACCCATACCCTGCTTCTACTAGTTTCTGTTTGAAATTGATAGTTTTATAGCGCCTCTGCCCTTTTCATGGAACGACTATACCAGAGTTTACTTCTCACTTTTCATACCTTCATATTATTTGTGATATATCTACATGGAATGTATAGTAATGAAAAAAGTGAGTTAATTCAAGTTTGAAGAGCATGCCTAAAGAGAAGAATTCCGTTGAAGACTCCTCTATTGAACGTCACAACCATCACATTTGGCTATGAAATAGTATTTTGTTTTTCTGCTCGACTTTACTGGTTTCAGCTATCAATACT